ATCCACTATTTACAAGGACTGTGTTGCATCCCTTGGACTAGAGAGGGAGTTAACCATTAAATCTGAACGGCCACTGATTCAGGAGAAAATGCTTTGGGCTTTACCTGAGAGCTAGGAGAACCCAGCTGTTCCAAACCTGTCTGCAAAGGGCTGGCAGATGGAGTAGTGGAAAACCTACCAAAGATATGAAGGGGTGGGAGGTGGGGGTGGGGAAGGAAACAAAAGTGACAATAAGGAAGGCAAAGACGGCATTAGTTTAAAACTATTGGGTAAGGGGTTTCCCACTGATACCAGGGGTGCGTCCAGATGAGCAGGAACGCATGTTTCCCTGAGGATGGGTAACAGCAGCACACCTACTGCTGCTGCTTGTCCCTGGGGAACACTCATGTCATGTGTGCTTTGGCATGCAGCAGGCTATCCCAGGTGGGGTAGAGGTGGCTGGGGCCACCAACTGCTGACCTGGCAGCCTTACCTGGAGTCCTGGGGACTTCCAGGAGCTGGAGCTGGAATGTGGCTCCAGCCGACCAAGCTCTGGCTTTGTGGAGTGCATGCTGCCCCACGTTTTTGGCATGGGTGTTTATTTGACCCCAGGATTCTGTTCAATATGGGGAGCTTGACAACCAGATCTGTAATATTAAAAATGCATTTATGAATACTAGATAATTTTTTACTATCTCTGGTATGGAAAATGGCAATATAGCAGGGAGACTTAAGCAAAGGCAGAATAATTACCAATTTGTCTAGTTTCCTTTTGCTCCTAACACTGGATGCAATGGAAAATATATTTTAAATGACATTATTTTTTTGCTCTGTCACTTTCTGTAACTGCATTTAAAAAAAAAAACAAAAAAACAAAAAACACCCTTGTAATGTGTTATAACTTTGTTTGTTTAGACTGATGTTGTTTTTGTTTTCTGTAGGTTTTTTCATTCAATAACTGGTACCTTTAGGCATCTTTAAATCATTTGGAATATGGCAGAAGCAGTGCTGATTGATCTACTTGGGCTAGAAATGAATTCACAGGATAGCAGCTTTCAAAAATTACTACATAACATGCTAGAAGCTGTTGAAAAGCACTATTCAGTCAGTGCCCCATCTGTTTACATAATGTGCTGCCAGACTCAGCAAAGTGGAAGGAATGCTGTGCAAGATTGGTTACTTAAAGCAATGAGTGGCGCTCAAATTCTGGAGAGAAGTTTTGAGGTTATCTGCGCAGCAAATGCAACTGCTGCTTTGTACACAATTAAACAAAAACTTGATAAAAAGGACCTAAGCATTATTAAAATCATTTTGCCAGCACAAAGGAAAGCCTTAATGAGAGCATTTATAGACCACCTATTCACATCTGTCTACCAGTTTGAATTTGAAGAATTACGGGTGGACTGTGAACCCAGCCACCTTCAAGAAGCTGAAACGCAGAATGAAATGCAAACGCTCCCTGCGCAGGAGACGGAATTAATCGTGAATGAGATTCAGACATACCTAGAAAGGCTGCCAAGCCTGAGAGGGGAGCTCACCATTCTCAAATCTGTCTTGATCCCAGGTAAAGTGGGAAATGGATTTTGTCTGTTTTCGGCTCTTGAACCCTACAAAGCTTATTGATCTGTATAATCTCTCTTATATGATTTGGAATTGAGGCCTGAAGAAGTTTTCCATTCCCAAACTGACATTATATGTTGCTATAATAATGTACAGAGACCATAAAACGTAATCGGGGGAGAGAGAAGTCCTGAGTATAGACATACCTTAGGACAGCCAAAGTCTGCCTCTGCTCAGGCACTCTTGTAAGACCAGGAGTACCACTGGGCCAGATTTAACTTGGAACACCACCAAAGGACACCTAAATTATGTTGGAAGAGCCCAGAATCAGGTCACTTAGCCAGGGATCCTGGCTTTCTCTGATCCTTTTTTTTTTTTTTTTTTTTTTTAAAAAAAAAAAAAATCCCAATTTTTTGGTTTTAAAAAAAAAAACAAAAAAACCAACTTTTTTTTTTTTTTTTTTAAAAAAAAAAAAAATCCCAATTTTTTGGTTTTAAAAAAAAAAACAAAAAAACCAACTTTTTTTTTTTTTTTTTTAAAGGAAAAAAAAATCTCCAATTTCTGGATTTTAAAAAAGTAACTCAAAAATCCACACTTTTTTTTTTTTCATGATCAAAATGAAGCACCACTATATCCATCTAACCTAGCCTAGTGTTTTATTTTAATCATGAAAAAATGTAGATTTTTGGGTTACTTTTTTTTTTTAAGCTGGAAATTGGAGGGGGGGGGGTTGTTTGGAGAGAACTAGGATACCTGCTTATAGCTAATTTTGTCCTTCTTTCTTCATGAGTAAGTTTTTGTTTGTTTGTTTTTGTGCAGTGACTTCAGGAGAAGAAGCATAGACTCTAACCCTATGTGTTTTTATTTTAGTGCTGATAGAGTAGGCAAGAAATGCTATCTTAAGAGAGAGGGTTGGTAGTGCCCATTTTTAAGAAAAGCCATTCCAGAGTGAGCCACGGGGTACAATGCCATGCACACGGACACGCTTAAACTAATTGTTCCCTTTCTAAAGCTTGAAGACTTTAGCCAGTCAAAGGGGTGCATCTCTACTGTTGAAGGTGCTGGCTAGGAAGGAGCCTAAAGGGACTCCTAGCACGTTCTATTGGATGCTGACATTGATCCCTTGGATATTGTACTGTAGCAGTGGGAAGGTGAAAACAACCCTGTTCAAATTAAAACTATCTGCTTATTCATATTCTGACTACTTGAAATTATACCCCCCAAATAAAATAATTGAATTATAGGGCTTTTTTTTTTTTTTTCCAATTTGGCGCACTTGCTCAGATATTAAGATAAGAATTATGGTCTCCTGCAACTGTTCTCAAAACATCCTTAGACATTCAGAAAATCTTTTCTACCATAAAAGTACTAGTTTTAACATTTTGCTACCTCACTTTTCTCCTATGGGCATGTCCAGATGAACCTGCATGTGCCTCTTGCTGCATCTCAAAGCAATATGAGATGTGGTAAGAGGCACACTGGGACCAAAAAAAGTTCCCTGCACTGCATATTTATTGTAGGCTCAAAATTTGATACCTGGACATCCAAGTATCCAAAGAAAAACAAAACAAACAAAACCCTGCAGAAAAAAGCAGTGGCTTCCAAATTGCTTTAAACTTGTAAATGTATCAATAAAACATTGTCCAGCTGATCTCTCTCTTTATAGTGGCATGTCATTTTAATAGTGAAAGAACATTATTTTGGGTATTTTAATGAGAGAATTTGGGTTTCTTATTGGAGAATTTGCGATTTTTAAATGAGAAACACCTGATATCTGCTGGTGAGACAAGTGCCAATACCTGGACAGAGGAGCATATCCAGGGCCAGCACTTGAGACCCAGCTAGAAGGCAGACTAGGTGGCTGACCTCTTGGCCATTTGGGGCCAAGAGGATACACTTGGACAGTTCAAAGGAGGCCACCACAAGGAGCACATCTGGGTCATAACTGCCCAGATGACAGAGTGGGGGCACCCCATCAGGGTCTGGGAAGAGTGCAGCCATGGAGCCGCAGGTCCAAGGGGATTGATGTTGTCACAAGTGGCATCAGGTTAGAGCTAGGCAGCAGCCCCCACTACCAGACTACTGCAGTGAGTAGAGGGAGCAGGGGCCATTCCAGCTTAGGGCTGCTTCAGCAGTCCAGCTGGCACAAGGGGTACTGTCCCCAGATACCAACTGGCTGGGCCTTGGAACCTACTGAGGGCAAGTAGCTGTGAGCTGCTTGCCAGGGCAGGCTTTTATCCTGCTGGTTTTTATACAGGCTCTAGCTCCCCCTGGCTGCAGATCTGGGAGGAGCTGGACAGAATTATTTTGCCCCAAGTGGCACAACATGCTCCCATACCAAAGTGTATGTCTGGGCACATGCACTGAGGCAAAAATCCCTGGCTGAAATTTGTGCCGTTCTTATTTCAGCTGCTGCAAGCACATGTGCCTGAGTTAACTTCCAAGGCAGAGGGAAGGATTTTTCTGTATGAGTTGTATGGAACTTTACATCAGAGCCAGGAGTCAGGGGATTAAGACATCTCTTGTATTGGAGAAGAGACAGAACTTGCTTGAATGCACAGGCAATAGAACTGTAGAGATTGTATCTGGCTCACATGCATGCAGTCATCCCCTACATCCGGGCCTGGTGACACAATCGCAGAATGGATTTTCAGCACACTATTGGGTGTGGGTTTTGCCTGCACGTGCCCACGTAGCAGAGGCCTCCAGAAGGTTCAGCTCCTTAGCTTCAGATTTCAAAGAAATAGCAGACTTATCTGGAGTCGCTCAGTGGAGGGAGGAGCCACTTGTTCAAAAATCCCTTGCCTCTATACCTTCTCAACCAGGTGCCATGGCACCCCAGATCCTTTTAAGGGCCCTGGGTGACATTAGAACTATAGGTGCTTGCTCACCTTTGATTCACAAGATTAAACCCAGAGATGTCGAAGACTAATCCATAGGAATTTTGACATGCTTCAGTGTTTTCTGAGTTCTCTGCAACAGATGAATTGCTCTATTTTTTCCATAGTTTAAAAAAAAAGAGTGGAAGCAAAGAGCTGGCACTTTTTGAGAGTGTTTTACCATGCTTAGAACCATTGCTCTGTATTGTGAATACCTGGATGCTATTTAACCTGCTGTAGCTTCCTTCCCAGAAGCCCTTTTAGAGAAGGAGGGGGAACTATAAAACATAAAGCAGACTTGGCTTGTAGTGATTGTCCTTGGATTTTCCCTGCATGTTTGAAAGGGGTTGTGTTGGACTGAGTAAAGATCCTGCTGCCTTGCATCCCTCAGCCTGGAGCTCTATGGAGTTCCAAGGTTAATGTTCTGTAAAGAGCAACAATTGGAAGTCTAGGACCCGTCTCCTCTCCCCTTCCCAAATGGAGTACCGGGAAATGGGAAGAGCTCTGCAGCCTAGAGTAAACTGATTTTGGAGAGGACCAGGCTTGGCAACAGGAGAATAAAGCAGATCTCTATGACTATCTAAATTGGGAAATAAGTAGTGGGGGTAAGCTTATGGAGGGGATGCAGAAATGGGAGGTCTGGCTGTTCAGTTAAAAGATACAATATGTGAATTTATGCTTGCTGTCCTCCAGGCTGCAGAGCAGAATGGAGGTGGTTGTTTTCCCTATTTCTGGTCTGTACTAGCTGACACATGGCAGGCAGGAAGGAATATTTTTTTCCCCCCTCCTATTGCTACAGGGGTTGAGCTCTTTTTGTTTTTGGGGTTTTTTTGGGTTTCTGAGAAGCATTGGGTGTTGGCTTCAGCCAAGGCTGGAGACTTTGCCTGGGGTGTGCTAGAACTCCAACCTGGAGCCCCAGTTAGTGTCTTGCCCCTCTGCTCAGGGTCAGACCAGTTGTCACACTTGGCATCAGGAAGGAATTGTACCCTGCAGTCGGATCGGTAGGGGCTCATGGCTAAGGGAAGAAGAGTTCCTCTAGTGGGGATTGGGAGCACATGTAAAAATGCCCAGTGCCTTGTAGTGGTACGAGATGATTGTGTAGCTTTAGGAACAGGTCAGACACTCATATGTAATGGTTTAGATGGAGTTGATTCTGTCTCAGGAAGGAGGTTGGATTAGATGACCTCTGGAGATCCCTTCCAGGCTACTTTTTCTGGGATTCTAATGCTATACCCCTGAGATGGCTCTTCCTCACTCCATGCTTTCCCCTGGCAAAGGCTGCCACTTAACTTGTTTCATCTCACAGATGCCATTTTCAAAACTCCTTTTTACCTGTGCTATAATCTGATTGGGCAATACTAGTGCAGAACACTTTTTTTTTTTTTCCAGGATTGTCAGTTGTTTCAAACTTGCTTCTCACTAGGTGACATCTTCCTTCATGGGTTCACCACACGGGCAGGTGGCATCTCCTACGTACCAACACTTAGCTCCTTCAACCTGTTCAGCAATCCCATGCGGAGAGATCCAAAAATCGTGGTCAGAGAAAACCTACGCAGGTTATCCACCGCTGCAGGCTTTGACCCAAAGACATATCACAGTGTGAAGGTATGGTATTGGACAACCATGGGTTTCTGTATAAACTAACTGGATCTTTCCTTTTGTGTACCAGTGAAAGTTTACATTTTTATTGTGTGTCTTACTCTTGCCTTCTCACCAAGAACATAATTTTGCCCCCAACTTCCAAGGCACTTACTGTTTGTAAGTGGGAGGACGTGAATGGGGACGAGTCGCTGTATACATGCTCTATTTTTCATGTTCTTCCTCTACAACACTTACTACTGACCCAGTTCTTATGACAGTTCATCCTAGGAAAATGTAACTGAAGTGTCTCTGTACAAAGAGGAAGGCCCAGTGCCTTCTCCTAAGCATACTCTAATGTGGGGTGGCCAACTTGTGGCACACATGCCACTCAACCTCCGTGTGGCACACAACAGATTGGGGAGGAGCAGGGAACAAAGTGGCAGAAAGGCATGGAGCAGAAAGATCAACAGTCAGGCAGGGAGCACAGGACAGGAAGCATAAAATGGAGCAGCAGTTTGGGCAGGGGACAGGAAGTAGAGTGGTATGCAGGAAGGGTGTGGGGCCTAGCTTGTCACAAGCCTACCAGAAAAGTTGGCCCCCACTGTTCTAATATCTGTTTTTCAATCTTGAAGTTTGTGCCTAAAAGTAGTAAATAGTTTGTGAGGCTATGAATGAACATTACATTTGCACCCAGAAAAAACTTTTATCCTAGGACTATATATACATCCATTATTCAGCCTCAAGTCTCTGAAGTATGACCAATAAAATCTTTTTTTTCTTTTCCCCTGGGATATCCTGTTGTACATGTGTATGACTACTGCAGTTCCATCCAGGGACAAGCATGTCCAGCTGTGTGCTCACACTGGCCACCTACTGGTGAAGGAGCAGTATGGCATCCTGGAAAGGTGATGTGCACAGGACGGCTACACCAGTTTTAATCTGGGTCATATCCCAAGACAAGTAGTCCTGCCTCAAGTAAAACATTTTATTTACAACTTTAAAGGCCCACAGTCAGTGATGCATAGATCTCTTTGTATAAAAATGCAGTTCTTTGGTGGTCTAATGTTATGTGTCAAGTAGAAGATAATCTGTTTTTAAAAAGGGATTTGAAGGCAAGGAAAATGGGCATTTGAAGGAAAAAAGGTCTCGACCATAAGTATTCATATGAAAGAGAATGTGAACAAGCTGCAAAAAGTGACGAAAAGACCACTCAGCATAGTAAGAACTGTTCTTTTCTTTCCATGCCTTATACTGACAGGTCAACCATGCCAATGATGTTTGGATAATGGGAAAGACTGAACCTAAGAGTTATGATGGAATAACAACAAACTGGAGAGGGGTTACAATAGCAGCTCCAGGTGCTGACTGCATACCTGTACTCTTTGCTGATCCTGTCAAAAAAGCCTGTGGTGCTGCTCATTCAGGTAAGTTTTACTCCAGAAATATGCACCAATAAAATACAGCTTGGAAACTGTTGGAAAGTGACCACTTACCTACTAAATATGGCCTAATAGTTTGACTTAGGGGGTGAGCAATTATTTTAGCTGGAGGGCTGCTTAATGAGATTTGGTGAGCTATTGAGGGCTGCAAGGGTAGCCCCGTCCCTTGACAAGTGCCCTGCCCCACTGGTCACCATCTTGGGACCAGATATCCAGGTATCCACCAGAAGTCCCTCCCCTTGGCTCCTGAAATACTCCTTTTGGGAGGGGGAATTTGCAATCTTGGAACCAGGAAAAACCAAATTGTATACTAATAGTCAAACATCTATAATACACTTCTTAAAAATAAAATTAAAATATTTTGTCATGTTTTCATAGGGTGTGAGTATAGAGGATTGCATAACAGCTCTACAATAAAGTCTTAATCTTGTATATTAAGATTAAGGGGGGTTACAGGTGGGTGGGTATGTATAGGGGATGGTTGTGTGTGTATGGTATGATATGTTGCAGGGTATATGTGGGGGGTGGGGACTGCACCCCACCCCACCCCACCCTGGCGCATAGCCCTCATTGCCAAGGGCAGCAGCAGCAGGGGGCACGTCTTTGGGGTGCTTGTAGCCCAAGCAGGCACTGCTGCCTGGTGCTGTGCAGCTCCAGCCAGTTCTGGGAGCTGCCGGAGGCAGCAAGGAGCAGAGCCAGGCCAGTTTGCCTCTATCATGTTGGGCTCCCCACAGCACACATCCAGCTCCTGGCACTCTTGTATGACATGGGGGGAGGGAAGCCCCACATAATGGAGCTGGCAGCCTTCTTCACTTCCATAGGAGTCCCAGTGCCAGGTCCTGGGACTCCTATGGAAATGGAGGGAAACCACCTTCTCTGCTTCCTGGCGGAGTCCCAGCATCTCTGTGGCAGCAGGGAGTGGGGCTAGGCCACCAGGTCCATTGTGTGGGGCTTCCCTCTGGTAGCACATCAGTACCAGAAGCTGCACATGCAACATGAGGAGCCCAGTGCGATAGAGGGGGCTGGCCTGGCTCCCTCCACTCCTTGCCATCACATGCAGCTCCCAGAACTGGCTGGAGCTAAACAGCACTAGGCAGCAGCACAGGCCGAGGGCCCCCACCTGGTGCTGCTGGCAGGGGCTGTGTACCTGTACTCCCACCTGGGAAGCAGCAGGGCAGCTGCAGCTAACTCACTGCCTAGAGCGAGTGTTGCACCAGGGACAGGAGGAGGAGCAGCTGGAGGCTGGGGAAGCAGAGCGGGTCCCCCAGTGGCAGCAGCAGCCCCACCCAAGAACTGCATGTGCTGGCTGGGGCAGGCCCTTCCACATACAAGGGAAGGAAGGAGGCGCCCGGGCTGGGTGGGGTACAGTTAATTTGTGGGCACCCATGAGCTGGATGAAGCTACCTGGCAGGCCACATTTTGTCTGCCCCTGGCTTAACTGGTGATGTTAAATTGGGTGAGAGTGGACAAAGTTAACTATGTCTTGGCACTTTTTTTTATTTCCAGGCATGCTAACATCTTGGAGAAATCTTGTAATGCATGCATCTAAGGCTGGATGAATACTTTTTAAAATTATAATGTATTATGTTTTTTGGCCAAATTAAAATAAAAAAAAAATTTCTTTTTGTTTTGTTAACTTGTCGTCTTTTTTTTTAAATGAGTCAAATTCATTTGGGGTCATAGTTTCATAGGGTCAAACAAGACAATTCATTTGACCTGAAACAAACTAATCTGGGATAGTTTTAAGCAGAGCAAAACTGAGAAGCAGATTTGGTATGCTTTTCTTCAGTGTGTCCCACTTCCTAGGAATGTGCTTTTAACCATTAATTGATTTGAGGATGTTGTAGGGTGTTTGCCTCTGTCTGGGGGGTGGAGGGTGCACTTGCACTCCCCCTTTGATTCCTGCTCCACCCAAAGTTTAAAACCAACCAACTGCCTGGCAGTGGCAGCAGCATTTGTAGTCAGGCAGTGGTGAGGGAGTTGGTTGACTTTATGGCTCATTTATGATCTACCCAATCTCTTCTAAACTCTTTTTTTCAGCAGGTATTAATGATCCTATCTTCCTTGTAATGGCCGTGATATTCCACTAATCAAGCTATCCTTTTCTTCTGCAATTCTGTTTTCTATTAGATGCTTCTGGTAATGAAGTGCTCATTTCACAGCCCTGCATGCTGGTTTAGATTAATTCTAATGAAATTATACTTCAGGTGGTTTGAAGTTTTTTGCTCCAGTTTAATAAGCTGAATACTACAGCCCTGAGTCACTAGCATACCAGTGAAGCTTCTAGTTTTATTTTTAACAGGAGAAAAATGTCTTGCTGTATATGTGGTGATGGACCTCGCCCTTTTTGCCCCCTTTTCAAAATTTTGTATCTGCCTGCCTCTGTCTTTTCTGTTGAATATTCGTTTAACCCATAGAGTGTGTATGTTTCTATAACTTGGTGGTGGGAACCAAGTTCTAGCTGCTCCAGTTAATTACTTTGTATAAAGTGGAAAAGCTTCAAAAAAAGACTTGCATTGGAATCCCTTATAGCAGAGGTTCCAAAATTGTAGACCACTCCTTAATTTTTTTGGTGAATAAAGTATTCACCAAAAAGTTTTGCCCTGCCCTATGTGTACCACAGCTTGGGTATGTCAGATTCCACTGAAACGCATACATTTTTAACGTTTTTGGGGGGGGGGGGGGGATTGTTTTTCGTTTTTTAAAAGATTTCTGTCTGAATTGTCCAGGCTCCTTTTTATATGAATATCAAGTGGTCATTTAGTTTTATGCAGTAGGTCTACACAGGGTAGGATATGTTCTAATGATCCAAACCCATAGAGGAGGGAATTCTTGAGTTTTTAATCTCACCTTTCAGGGTGACTTCTTGCCTTGAATTAGTTATTGCACCTCTCTTCAGTATCCATACTGTATGATACTGCTACATCATAAGAATGCTCAGAGCATGGTTTCTTTGTTAGCGATGAATTATTTTTGTTCCCTGTATTTCATGCCAAGAAGGAAGCCATAAAATAGAAAAAACAAACTGACAAGACTTTTTTTTTTCCCTTTCTCTCAGGATGGAGAGGTACTTTAATGGGAGTTGCTATGGCTACAGTAAGTGCTATGATTGCAGAATATGGATGCAATGTACAGGATATTCTTGTGGTGCTAGGCCCATCTGTTGGGCCTTGTTGCTATACCCTTCCTCAGGAGTCAGCAAAGGAATTTCACCAAATTGATCCAAAGTGTGTAAGATCGTTTGACTCTCCAACTCCTTACATTGATATTAGAAGAGCAACACGGTAAGTCTGATGCATTTTTATTTCATGTGATGCAGCTTTATTATTCTAAGTAGCTTAGAGGCAAGGTGAAAAGACTCTGACCTAGAAGGAATTATGATGGCAGTTCTAGTTGAATTGCTGATATAGGGAGAATCCTGGAAGATGGGGGTTGATGGTCCTCAGCACCTTACAGGCCCAAGCCCAGAATAACACTTGCTCACCTTCTTGCTATGTTGCGGCTTTTATTTTACTTTCATAAGTACAAGTAGTTCTCTTTTCTGTATTGATATTTTAAGATTAAATTTGTCTGGAATAAAAGGTGGGGTTTTTTTAATTTTCATTTAGCCCAGACAAAGTATTGGCACACTTTTCATCTTACAGTGATAATATAAATCGGAGGTACCAAACTTACTGGCTTCACAGGCGTCCGAGATGTACAGAATTGTGGTCTGAATTGACCCCACGGACCAGGCTCCTGAGCTGCATGCAGTATGTGGGGCTGGTCTGGGGTACATACTGCATGAGGTGAGAAGGGCTAGTCTTTGGGCTCTATACAGACTGGCCCCGGATCCAGCATGCAGGGATGGACCAGTTCCACAGGCAGCGTGCATGTCAGACCGGCCCTGCATGCCACATGCAGCACGCAGGGCCAGTCTGCAACCTGTAGCCTGTAGTAGGGCATCATGGGCCAGATCTTTGACACCCCAGCAATAAATGGCACTGTTGTTGCAGTGTCATTAAGATCAGACCTTAAGAATTGCGCCTGTTCAAAAAATCCAAAATGATCATTTTATATTTTATTTGTTTTCCTTCAAGAGCACTTTTGGAGAGCGGAGGGATTCTGCCTCAGAACATACAGGACGATTCCATCGCTGACCAGAACCAAAACATCACTTTCTGTACAGCCTGCCACCCTGATAAGTTTTACTCTCATGTTCGTGATGGTAATAACTTTGGGACCCAGATTGGTTTCATATCAATCAGAAACTGAGGCAGTTTGGCTTATTCTTGGGTAGTAATTAGGCTGTATCTCTCGGGATGGTAGACCCTTGTCCTCCCCTCCATGTGACGTTATCTCAAGAAGGATGGATTTACCACAGCTCTTGGGATTCTGCTGCTTCCCCGCACTGTTCCTCTGGGAAGCAAGACCAGCCGCAGAATAAAATGGGGCCACAGGCTCGTATGAGAACCACGGATCAGTGGGGACGATGCCATTTGTAAACTGTGTCCAAGGCTCGCATGGCTCCTGTTGCCCAACTCCCACTTCCATATGCTCAGGTATCTGTTTACAGTGTGGTAAACCTCTGAAGTGAATTACTGCTACTCCAGACGAACTGCTTGCAGTGTAAGCTGCATCCTAGATTTCTGGCTTGAAAACAGCATGCTTCATAAAACAGTGTTTCTTTAACCCTTCTTCCTGGCCATGCTTTATGGAGCTAAGCTCACATGCTGCAACCACTGATGCTTACACTGGGAAACTATTTTCATATCCCATGTTTTGCTCTTTCTATCCTCACTGATTCCAGAGGCTATCATATGCTACTTGGTACCTAGAAATTGAACTGTTATCAAGAGGCTGGTAAAGAACAGTGCCAGCAATGTAAATAATAAACCATTTTAAAAGACTGGGAATTGGAGAAGAGCAAGAAATTAGAATTGGGATGTTTCTTTTCCTATCTGACATACTTCTGGAACCTTTCTATCCTTTATGTGCTGTGTGGATTGAAATGATTGGGCTCATTTTGTTTGCCAAAGAGGTAACTAGAAATGCGAGAGAGAGAGAGCTTTGACAAGTGTGTGTGTTTGTTTGTTTGTTTGTTTGTTTGTTTTTAAAAGTTAATATCCAAATCGTGTGAACAAGGCTTATTTTCTGCTTTGCTGAATTTTCACTAGCATCATACTTAAGTGGGTATAACTAATCAGTAGATCTTCAGATTTTTTTTTTTTTAATTTCTTTCTAGATTAACTTAATGGCTACTGTCAGGATTTTAGTTTGTGTGTTACAGAGACTAGCCAAAAATGGATCCCACTCACCTATCTCAAATCTTCCTTGACTCACTTTTCCCATTTAGGACTTTTCAGCTTTGCATGAGCTTGAAAACTGGAGAGAGTTAAATGAGGGGCTGAGGAAAACTTATTTTTGTGATGCATTAGTCCAGCTTGGGTTTGGATGGCTCTTTTTCATACCACACTACCAAACTACTCCTGGCAGCAGTATTAGAGGTAAATAGCATCTGCAGCCAGCACACGCAGACCATCGTCCGGATGTCTGAACTGGGCAAGCTGTGAGGATATTGAGTTAGACACAGCTCTGTAATGTTTAGAAACTCTATTTTAGGTGATGTCGCCTTTCCTTCCTTGGTACTTCACATACTTCCTACCTAATAACCAACATTCTCATAGCAGATTGAACACAGCTAGACCCTTATGTCCTCTGCTTTTGTTTAAATCTAAGAAGCCATACAGAAAAATAAACCTGTTTTTAACATTCTAGTCTATCTTGCCACTGAAACTAAATTCATTCCCAGCTGTTGCTTCTGTGGAAAATGTCTCTGGATGGTATAGTTCACGGATCATTGTGTACAAACAACACAGTCTCTCCCAGTGCTTCAGGTATTCATTTGCTGGGACTGTTACAAAGCTGACTACAGCTTGCAGGGTCCTCTGGCTTAAGTCTTGGGAGAAATGTCTGTGGAAAAATTTATTTTCCATTTTTCTAACCCAGTGGTTTTTCAACCTGTTTTGTACCAGGACCCATCTTGTAAACATGGGCCAGTCCCTCCCCAGCCCCCCAGTGGGTGAGGTGGGGGGCAGTATATTGAGTACAGGGAGCCCCAAGCAGTCTCCTTGTAGGCTGCAAGTCTGCCAGCCTGCAAAGGAAAGCCATGGTTTCCCATGTATTTCTCCTTTAAAGGAAAATCCATTTTTAAAGTTTGATCCTTTTTGGTTGGTTGGTTGGTTGGTTGTTTTTTATTTTAAGTTGGTTTGTGACCCTTTCATTTTCTTGTGACCAACTTTTGGGTTGTTACCCATGGGTTGAGAAACACTGTTTTAACTACATGGGGCTTGCAAATTCCAAGGTAAAGATTTTGCCCACTAGGGGTCAGTGCTCACTCACTCAGCACTTCTTTAGCCAGGCTATGCTTCCTTGAAGTAGATTGTAGAGCTGCAGCTTGATCCTCCAAACCCTGTTTTTACAAAACCCTGGGCGCATCTACATGAAACACTTGCTGTACAGTAAACATCATGCATCTACATATGTGCCCCTGTTAGGCTCGAGTAAACTATCTCGGCAGCAGTTACACATATAGATGCTACCCCGGCTGGCTGTGGCACAACGGTGCTTCACAGTGGAGGTTACCTGCCCACTAGCCCCACACTGAAGCACCTCATGCCCCAGCCAGCCCTTCTGCAGCACATCTGAGTGGGGGGCAGCAGCTCCGGGCTGGCAGGGACCCCTGCTAGCTGAGGCTACTCCAACTTGGCTCAATGTGCTGTGGCCTCAGGGCAAACAGCACGTGCCCAGGAGGAGTACACTCCAGAGCAATATTTTCCAGATTTTATTGTTTTGCATTAACTGCATGTGTAGACTGCCTTAGCAGAGGGAAGCATTTGCTTTACATGGGGGCTGTCTTTTTGCAAAGTTTCTCTGGAAGCCATTCTTGAAAAATAATGCATTCCAGTTTTGTCAGGCTGCTATATGTAACCCAGGTAGTACTCTGAGACATGCCCCCTCTCCAGCTGAAGGTATCAGAGCACATGGAGGAACACTGTGGGTGAGGTGGCAGCCCTCCTTTCCCTATAGAGCAGAGTGGGATCTTAAACATATACCCTTTAATGAGGGGACAGGGTTTAAGATATGACATAGATACCAGGGGGTGTAGTGTACACTCAAGTACCCGGGGGCGGGGGGCAGAAAAAAACTCAACAATGTTTAGGCATACCCATTCAATTGACAAAAAATAAGGTGACAAAATATAAGATGCAAGTTAACAACGTATATGAGAGGGCTAAATAAATATGAGACCCCAGTTAACCAAGTATGGCATGCAGGTTAACAAAAAATAGTAAAAGCAGATTAACAAAATATGGAATGCAAACATCCCCACCCCCCAAAGGGGCAGGAAAAAATAGATAGAACCCACCTCCCCCAGTGGGGGTTCCCCTTTCCTAACAATTCACCCCTGAGTTACATTGACCAAGAGACAAACCTTGAACCTATCTCCCAACTCACCCCTCCGTTGCTAGGTCTCCTGTGTGGTGGACTCCTCACCTACCACTGAGCTGTCCAAGCCTGAGCAGCTGGAGGCAGCTTTGGCTTTTGTTCTTCAGGGAGCCTCCCTGCAACTGCTGCATGCCATGCTACCCAGCCTCCTGCTAGGGGGAATCAGGTGGCAAAAGGGTGGGGGAAGATTGGAAGCTGTGTGTATACTTCTGAATAATGTCTTCCCTTTTTCTTTCCAGTCTGCTCCACTGGTCCTTTCTATTCTGCCTCCATCCTCTCCTATATTGTCTCTCTGTCTTTTAACACAATGTCTTAACTAAGTCCTCTGCCTTGTTTGGCCCAGCTCCACCACCACATAAGCACAGAACAACAACAATCCTATCCAGTCTGCATCTTTGCACATGTGACTTTAGTCTCCTGAGAGAGAAACTGAGAGCCCAGAACTTTCAAGAAGCAAAAGCTGGTACTTGGGCTGGACAGACAGACTAGAGCTGTTTTCATGAGATGGAAAAACTGAAATGAATACCCACGTTTGACTGGTAGGTAACTCAATGTGTGAGAGTTTTACGGAGCCATTCATTTTTATGAGATTGTAAGCTTAGCATGTTTGTGATGAGATTTATTTGTAACTTATTCTTTAAATGGGAGAGAAATTTAGTATTTTATTGATGATTTAAAAAAAAAAAATCTATTTTTTTTTAATTTTTTTATCCACCTTGCCCTGCTGCCCGGCCATGTGCCAGGAGCCTGGTGCCAAGCCACCACCTCCAGCTTAGGGAAGTCTGATGCCTGCTGGGACCTCCTGCACACCACTGGTATGCCAGAGAAGCTTTAGTCCTGCCAAGACCCTGCTCCCTGGCTGCTCACCAGGAACCTGGTACCGAGCCACCACTTGCGGCTTGGGGAAGTCTGCCGGGGCCCTTTGCATGCCACCTGTGTGCTGAGAGGGTCAAAGCTGAGCCACCTTCTGTGGCTCCCTGGCTTCGGTCTCTTGGCAAAAGTCCTCCATGCACCATCCTGTGTGTCAGGCTCCTTCAGGGCTCTTCTGGAGCAACTGTTCTGCCCTCTGGCCAGCTCTTTCCAGTTCTTCAATGCCCCTCTTCTCTCTCCTGAAGCCAGGTATACTGCCCCTTTTATCCCCCCCAGGTGGCCAGCGGGGACCCAATAGGGGAGCCAGAAAGGTGATTCTTCTTTCAGATCTGGTGTCCCTATCTGGCCCCTGCGTGAGGGAGGGGACAAGCCTTTTCCTTTTCTGGCCTTGATTGGTGGGGAACAGGAAATCCCCCTCCACCAATCATTTTTGAACTTTACAAAACTCTCATGCCAAGCTGCCTCAGCAGGTCCATCACGTTTACATGCTATTAAACCAGAGATTTTTTTACTTGTCCACTTAGAAAATAGTTTTGTCTGTGTTTTAATTGCATTTTATTTGTAAATGGTATTTCTTTAGCCAGATTCAAAAAGGGATTGACTAAATTCTTGGAGGAACGAGGCATCAGTAGCTATTGAGTGTGGGAGTTAGGGATATAGCCTCTGAATTAGAACTTCCTAGACCTTAAGTCCTGGAGGCTGCAGGTAAGAGAAACAATGGAAAAAACCCTGGTTATACCCAGTTCACTCCCCCTTTCAGCTTCCACTCTGTGCCACTGTGACACAGGATACTGAGCAAAATGGGCCTATGGTCTGACCCAGTAGATGGCAATTCTTATGTCTTATGATGTAGGTCTGTTTCTTATGGTACTACCTTTCGGCTGTAATCTCCCAATATCTTTTTTTGAACTCTGTCTGTCTGTCTGTCTGTCTGTCTGTCTGTCTCTCTCATTGCGATCTCTTTGGATAAAGTTCTTTCAGTTATCCTTCTCTAACCTTTTAATTTTCCCCAGGGTTCTCTTCCCTCTCAGCTTGCATATGTAGTGTTAGCACCCACAACAAGGATGTAACTGAAGGTTTAAGTTCATTCTGCCTTTCTACCCTGTCTATTCAAATACGCC